TTGAGACTGAGGGTTGTTGGCTGTTAGAGCAGGTTGGTATGGTTCCTTGAGACTGAGGGTTGTTGGCTGTTAGAGCAGGTTGGTATGGTTCCTTGAGACTGGGAGTTGTTGGCTGTTAGAGCAGGTTGGTATGGTTCCTTGAGACAGGGTTGTTGGCTGTTAGAGCAGGTTGGTATGGTTCCTTGAGACTGGGGATTGTTGGTTAGAGCAGGTTGGTATGGTTCCTTGAGACTAGGGGTTGTTGGTTAGAGCAGGTTGGTATGGTTCCTTGAGACTAGGGGTTGTTGGTTAGAGCAGGTTGGTATGGTTCCTTGAGACTGAGGGTTGTTGGCTGTTAGAGCAGGTTGGTATGGTTCCTTGAGACCGGGGGTTGTTGGTTAGAACAGGTTGGTATGGTTCCTTGAGACTGAGGGTTGTTGGCTGTTAGAGCAGGTTGGTATGGTTCCTTGAGACTGAGGGTTGTTGGCTGTTAGAGCAGGTTGGTATGGTTCCTTGAGACTGGGGGTTGTTGGTTAGAGCAGGTTGGTATGGTTCCTTGAGACTGGGGGTTGTTGGTTAGAGCAGGTTGGTATGGTTCCTTGAGACTGGGGGTTGTTGGTTAGAGCAGGTTGGTATGGTTCCTTGAGACTGGGGGTTGTTGGTTAGAGCAGGTTGGTATGGTTCCTTGAGACTGAGGGGTTGGTTAGAGCTGGTTAGAGCTGGGGGTTGGTATGGTTCCTTGAGACTGGGGGTTGTTGGTTAGAGCAGGTTGGTATGGTTCCTTGAGACTGAGGGTTGTTGGTTAGAGCAGGTTGGTATGGTTCCTTGAGACTGGGGGTTGTTGGTTAGAGCAGGTTGGTATGGTTCCTTGAGACTGAGGGTTGTTGGTTAGAGCAGGTTGGTATGGTTCCTTGAGACTGGGGGTTGTTGGTTAGAGCAGGTTGGTATGGTTCCTTGAGACTGAGGGTTGTGGTTAGAGCAGGTTGGTATGGTTCCTTGAGACTGGGGGTTGTTGGTTAGAGCAGGTTGGTATGGTTCCTTGAGACTGAGGGTTGTTGGTTAGAGCAGGTTGGTATGGTTCCTTGAGACTGAGGGTTGTTGGTTAGAGCAGGTTGGTAGGTTCCTGAGACTGGGGGTTGGGTTAGAGCAGGTTGGTATGGTTCCTTGAGACTGGGGTTGTTGGTTAGAGCAGGTTGGTATGGTTCCTTGAGACTGGGGGTTGTTGGTTAGAACAGGTTGGTATGGTTCCTTGAGACTGAGGGTTGTTGGTTAGAACAGGTTGGTATGGTTCCTTGAGACTGAGGGTTGTTGGTTAGAGCAGGTTGGTATGGTTCCTTGAGACTGGGGGGTTGTTGGTTAGAGCAGGTTGGTATAGTTCCTTGAGACAGGTTAGAGCAGGTTGGTATGGTTCCTTGAGACTGGGGGTTGTTGGTTAGAACAGGTTGGTATGGTATGAGGGTTCCTTGAGACTGAGGGTTGTTGGTTAGAGCAGGTTGGTATGGTTCCTTGAGATGGTTCCTTGAGACCGGGGGTTGTTGGTTAGAGCAGGTTGGTATGGTTCCTTGAGACTGAGGGTTGTTGGGTTAGAGCAGGTTGGTATGGTTCCTTGAGACTGGGGGTTGTTGGCTGTTAGAGCAGGTTGGTATGGTTCCTTGAGACTGAGGGGTTGTTGGTTAGAGCAGGTTGGTATGGTTCCTTTAGAGCAGGTTGGTATGGTTCCTTGAGACTGGGGGTTGTTGGTTAGAGCAGGTTGGTATGGTTCCTTGAGACTGGGGGTTGTTGGTTAGAGCAGGTTGGTATGGTTCCTTGAGACTGGGGGTTGTTGGTTAGAGCAGGTTGGTATGGTTCCTTGAGACTGGGGTTGTTGGTTAGAGCAGGTTGGTATGGTTCCTTGAGACTGAGGGTTGTTGGTTAGAGCAGGTTGGTATGGTTCCTTGAGACTGAGGGTTGTTGGTTAGAGCAGGTTGGTATGGTTCCTTGAGACTGGGGGTTGTTGGTTAGAGCAGGTTGGTATGGTTCCTTGAGACTGAGGGTTGTTGGTTAGAGCAGGTTGGTATGGTTCCTTGAGACTGAGGGTTGTTGGTTAGAGCAGGTTGGTATGGTTCCTTGATGGACTGGGGGTTGTTGGTTAGAGCAGGTTGGTATGGTTCCTTGAGACTGAGGGTTGTTGGTTAGAGCAGGTTGGTATGGTTCCTTGAGACTGAGGGTTGTTGGTTAGAGCAGGTTGGTATGGTTCCTTGAGACTGGGGGTTGTTGGTTAGAGCAGGTTGGTATGGTTCCTTGAGACTGGGGGTTGTTGGTTAGAGCAGGTTGGTATGGTTCCTTGAGACTGAGGGTTGTTGGTTAGAGCAGGTTGGTATGGTTCCTTGAGACTGAGGGTTGTTGGTTAGAGCAGGTTGGTATGGTTCCTTGAGACTGAGGGTTGTTGGTTAGAGCAGGTTGGTATGGTTCCTTGAGACTGAGGATTGTTGGTTAGAGCAGGTTGGTATGGTTCCTTGAGACTGAGGGTTGTTGGTTAGAGCAGGTTGGTATGGTTCCTTGAGACTGAGGGTTGTTGGTTAGAGCAGGTTGGTATGGTTCCTTGAGACTGAGGGTTGTTGGTTAGAGCAGGTTGGTATGGTTCCTTGAGACTGAGGGTTGTTGGTTAGAGCAGGTTGGTATGGTTCCTTGAGACTGAGGGTTGTTGGTTCGAGCAGGTTGGTATGGTTCCTTGAGACTGAGGGTTGTTGGTTAGAGCAGGTTGGTATGGTTCCTTGAGACTGAGGGTTGTTGGTTAGAGCAGGTTGGTATGGTTCCTTTAGACCGGGGGTTGTTGGTTAGAGCAGGTTGGTATGGTTCCTTGAGACTGGGGGTTGTTGGTTAGAACAGGTTGGTATGGTTCCTTGAGACTGAGGGTTGTTGGTTAGAACAGGTTGGTATGGTTCCTTGAGACTGAGGATTGTTGGTTAGAGCAGGTTGGTATGGTTCCTTGAGACTGTGGATTGTTGGTTAGAACAGGTTATTTGAAACAGAAGTTGAAGATTAGAGCTGGTTGGTATGGTTATGTGAGCTATAGAGCAAGATCTGAAGAAATTCTATGTTTGTGCTATTGATGTGACAGTGTAGGGAGAAATAGAATGAGCTGCATAAAATGGCAAAAGATAGAATGACTTGATTTGAGCTGGTTGGTTTAGGGCCTTTCCTGCATATACTTACATCCCATTCACTTACCATGATTTTGCAGCCACAAGATTAGTAAATATCCATATTTGAGAACAAAACTTCAAAGTTTGTTCAGTTCCCTAACAAATCCTAAGTTATGATAAGTTTCTGGATTAGATAAGCACTCAGGGGCTGTTAGTTCTCACAGAGGGCTGAGCAAAATTTCAGAGAAAAAGTTGCAGAAAAATGGGTCAATACACCCACAGAAATTTTTGATCCATTTGTAGACTGAAAGGATACAGTTTCGTCACACCAACTACTGAGTTGAGTGCATGGCGTGACCCTGTGAGCTGCAGATTTCATTTGGAATGTTTTTCGACTGTGACCAACGTGGTGTTGTGAACTGTAGATTTAGAAAATGGCACGTGGCCTGTTGCAGCAATATTGGTGGTGCCCTTATGTGATGCGCAACTGCTGATCTGTTGACGACATCTGCTGCCGTCGATGATGAACTGTATTTCTTATGTCAAACTGTTTGTGTTAGCACTTCTGATGGCTACCGTATGCTTTTAATGCGTGTGTATGCTAGTGCATATGCTGAGACAGCAGTCTGTCAATCTCTCCACAAGGGACTGCGACAAACATTCTGTGTATTTTTCGTTGGCACAGGAGCGGAGCAACTATGGGGTGACTCGTTTGCTATGAAGCTGAAACTAAGATTACCAAGATTACTTTTTACTTTGTACAGTAATATACAGACTGTAGCTGCACTGATTTCAATGTAGCTTAGCCTTAGTATAGTAGTCTAGTATAGTATAGTAGTCTAGTATAGTATAGTAGTCTAGTATAGTATAGTAGTCTAGTATAGTATAGTAGTCTAGTATAGTATAGTAGTCTAGTATAGTATAGTAGTCTAGTATAGTATAGTAGTCTAGTATAGTATAGTAGTCTAGTATAGTATAGTAGTCTAGTATAGTATAGTAGTCTAGTATAGTATAGTAGTCTAGTATAGTATAGTAGTCTAGTATAGTATAGTAGTCTAGTATAGTATAGTAGTCTAGTATAGTATAGTTTTTCTTTGTTTGGAGCACTTTCCTTCTCTTACACCATAAATACGGTAACAATGGTACATTGCCTGTGTAAACTCATCAGAATCGCTAGATTCCAAACAGCTGATCGCTCAGCTTCGCTGGTGAAAATTCACTGTCCGAATCACTTTAGGAAAAATCTAAATTTTCTTTATCATTATCAGAATTAAAAACATCTGACTGAAACAATTTCAGAGCTTAGGCCGCAGAAAGACACATTCTGCAACCCAAACTTGTGGTTGGAACATTGGTAATCATGGCACTTGAAAACGAACTTAGAAAATGCACTGTTGAATAAAATGTAACTATGAAATCCAATCCATCTACGCACGGGTAGCTTCAGATACAGATGTTGCTAAAAGGAAATCTGACTTTCCCTGAATACTCTAATCATAGTTCCCAACATTAGAAACAATTACGGAGCCGTGTGCGAAGCAGTATGTACGGGACACACGATCGATGATGACAGCTTTGTTTGGGCAAAACAAAACTTCTCAATCAACGCTCACACCGTTGCTCGAGAAAGAGTTAAAGAGATTTGAGTTTAAAACTTTTGGGCTGAGGGTCTAGCCACTACACTACTGCGGCTCTCCGATAGTGCTGTTGGCTGATATTTCTCTTTCACCCTCAGGTAACCTACAGATGGTTAAAGCTCTGTTGAGACACGGGGCAGAGGTCAATGCCCAGAACCAGCAGTTGGAGACAGCCTTGAGGTTGGGGGCATCACAGGGCAGACTCGACCTGGTCCAGACGCTTATTAAACATGGGGCGGATGTCAACAAGGCAGATGGCAAGGGCACCACGCCCCTCATTGCAGCGGTCAAGGGGCGGTACAAAGAAATGGTGCGACTTTTGGTCAGTTCTGGAGCTGTTATTGATCATTCTGACCAGTATGGTTTGACCGCTGTTTCGCATGCAGTCAGTCAGAATGACGTCCAGCTTCTGGAGATGTTGCTGGATGCTGGAGGGAATCCTAATGCCACTGACAGGTCAGTTGTCAGTTATTTCCTGTCATGCCGAGGTTTGTTTTAACTTGATTTTGTCAGAGTTAACTATTAATCATAGTTGCAGTTCTGACATCCCAGCAAATGGGTTGCTCCCATAATTGTTCTGTTTCTGTACCTATCACCATCCCATGTGAAATGTTGAACACACAGCAGCCCTGGCAATGCATTAAATGCATAAAGGAGACACAAGAGGTGCCAGCACAAACAGTCCACCTCTAGAATTGCAGTTTTTCTTCTATAGAAGCAGAAGTCATGACAAATGAGCAATTGCTCATATACTACGGCTTATATTTTCTTCTAATTTCTCTATCTGTTGGTTTTTATGGATCTCTGCTCATTTTTAGGTCTGATAGTTTTCCTGTCTTTCAACTAGCTCCTTCATTTACCAGCTTCTTTGTCATTTGGTTACTTAAGCTGTCAGTTTTCTTATTTAAGGTCATCATTTGGTCCTACTAGCCATTCACACACACACACACACACATAAAAACCATTCACAAATGCATGCACCTAGAGAAAGGGGGACCAACGGGAGGAAGAAAGAGAGTTGGCTTTTGTAAGACTCCAATGTTTCATATAGGGCTAATGGTAGCAAGTAAAGCATGAGCCTTATGTCTGCTACTGTAGATCTTGTTCTAGTCCTCAGTGTTAGAGAAATGACATCTGGACAGTCAGTGTTTTTCAGACATGTAATGAGAAGAAGTGGACTCGAGAACTTGGTAACAACTGGTAGGATTGGTGGAAAATAGAACAAGGGAAGGGCAAAGATGACATGGATGACATGGCTGAATGTACCGGGTGAGACAAGACCACTGACCTGATCGGGGATTATGTTGATCATGTGTGACGGAGAATCATGACAGCCTAACCTTATTGGTAGTGCTCACAATGTTAATTCCGATCTGCTTTTACATTGCTCATTAATCTTATTTTTCAAAATCTTGAACTCTTGTCCAGATGTTTTTATTCAAAATCTTTGTCTTTGATGTTGGGGGAGTAAACAGTTGATCGTGTGGGGGTGAGTAGTTGATTATGTGACAATAAAGAGTTGATTGTGTGGGGGTGAGTAGTTGATTATGTGACAATAAAGAGTTGATTGTGTGGGGGTGAGTAGTTGATTATGTGACAGTAAAGAGTTGATTGTGTGGGAGAGAACAGCTGTGTGGCTTAAAAAATTATGATTGTATTCACAGTCCTTGGCATACAAAGCTTAGATTTATGTGATGGGCAATTTAGAAAAAGACCGTACTCTAGCCTGTGAACAGTGGTTTTGGGAGATGCACAGTGTAAGAGTCATACAAGAAAAGTCGGCACAGAACCAATTTTGAATTACATGCAAAGACAGCAAATCAAATGGCTTGCCCACTTGGAGAGAATGCCTTTTGATGCTGTACCATACAAGGCATATACCAAAAGAAGAGAGGGACATTGAGCAAAATGTAGACCAAGAACAAGATGGGAAAATAACAGAGAAGCAGCCAGAAGAACACAAAGCAGGACCTTTTATATTTCCCTCGACACCTGAAGCGGTAAATGAGGACCTGAAGAAGAAGAAGAAGACAGTGTAAGAGACTGAAACCTAGCCATGTAATTTTCTCCTCAAAGACACAAGTAGATGGACATATCCACTGGAGCCAACCTCAGTTATGGAGATGGCACATCACCATTTTGATCCTTGTTTACCGTTATACATCCCATAATACTTGTAGTAAAGTCCTCCCTACTTTTCTGTCGTGTCAGGTCCTTTCAGTAAGTGTGAAATTCAGTCCAGACCTATGGCTTTTCTCAGCAACATAAACTTTTAGGGTTTGCCTCGAACGTCCCTATTTTCTCAGTCTATTTCTTTCCCATTTCAAGGCTTCTTTAGTGAGTCTCTGCTTCCCAATGTAATGCCACCTTCTTTGCCTTTAACAGATTGATACCAATGGTTGTGCACACATTTATTTTATTTCTTCACCTTTCCTGAATTTATTGTAATTTATGTCCATCTATTTCCTTAGAACTTTCTTTTCAAATCCATGTAATTTTCATTCCATATCTTTAATGGTTCTCTAACTATCATTAGCATACGTTGAAATTGTGTTAACATTGTGATTGAAAATAAAAATATTTTGGCATTAAAAAAATATAAATTACTGCTTTCAAGAGCTGCTGATGCCTTGCCAGTGTCTATCGTAATTTAATTTAGTAAATGTTTCTTTGAAAATCCAAATTACTCCCTAAATGGGTAAATTGATGTGTCACATTTATTCTTTTTGTCTTTAATGGGACATCTGCTTAATAAAGCTGGCACAACCAGCAAAAATTAAGTTGATATTTGAATGTTTCTTTTTGTTTGTTCTCTAGTGTTACTATTGATTTATTATTTACATAATAATTTCTAGCTAATTCTCTTGTATGGCAGGTATCAATTTATTAGTTGCTATCAGTTGATTAGTTACATAATAATTTCTGGCTAATTTTCTTGTGTGACAGGTATCAGTTTATAAGTTACTATTGATTTATTAGTTTCATAAATAAATTCTCTTGTATGACAGGTATCGCTGCAATGCTTTGATTCGAGCAGCAGACGCTGGTCGAGATGCAATCGTGCAGAGTTTGTTACTGCACGGAGCTGATGTCCATGCCCCAACGAAATATGGCGACACAGCCCTGATATTTGCCAGCCAGTTTTGCCAAGCCAGCACAGTGCAGCTTCTGATCCAGTGTGGAGCCAAGGTAGACCATGTCAACGATCGAGGAGAAACAGCCTTGCTGTGTGCCGCTGATAGAGCCAAGGCAGATGTCATTGAGGTCCTGGTTAATGCAGGTTCAAACCCCAACCATCAGAAGTGGGATGGAAACACAGCGCTGATGTGTGCTGCAAGACGAGGCTGTGATGTGGTCCGGGAGATTGTTAAATCTGGAGCCATTCTTGACCTTACCAATCATTCTGGTAACACCGCTTTGATAATTGGTGCCACCTGGGGGTCGTTTGATACAGTGGTCTGCCTGGTAGAGGCCGGAGCACAGATTGAGGTGAGGAATAATGAAGGAGAAACTGCAGTTATGAGTGCAGCTCGATGCAATAGGAACAGAGCTGTTGTGTATCTGTTGAGGTCTGGGGCCAAAGTGGACCTTATTCACAATGACACAACACTCAACACTGTGTTAATGTATGTTTGTCGTTTCTGTCTTCTAGACACGATAATTTTCCTTCTACACTCCCGGACCCCAGACGACTTGCTTATTAACCATGTAAATAGGTCAGGTCATTCTGCATTAACATATGCATGTGTGTCAGATATGTTTGAAGCAGTGCGCCTGCTCCTGGCAGCTGGTGCTTGTGTAAATGTCCGCACCAACACAGATGACACGCCATTGACGCTCGCAGCTAAACACGCCAGCTTGGGAGTTGTTAGAAGCTTAGTAGAGGCTGGTGCACTTGTGAATGCCTCAAACAAAGAAGGCTTTACATGCTTACACAATGCGGTCAGACGAGATAAACCAGAGATTGTTGAATATCTACTTTCAAAAGGTGCACATGTGACTTCTGAGATACACCTGGCCACATGGTTGGGCAATCGTAAACTTGTGCAAATCCTGGTGCAAAATGGCGCAGCCCCCAGCATCCAATCCATACACAACTTGCTCGTCAGATGTGATTTACAGTCGTCATCTAGTCTTCGGAACTCACTGAATGCCATGTCAGTTGACAATATGCCATGCTACTGGGGTGAGCAGTCGCCTTTATGCCTGGCACTACAACAAGGTCTGGCTGATGTAGCCAGATTTTTTATCCATAACTGGTTTTTAAGCTGGTTTGACGTTGTTTCGTTGCCATTCTTGTTGGAAATTCATGGTTATTTGGAAGAGAAAAACCTGAAGGATTGCATTCATATTCTGGATACTCTATCCTCTCAGCCTTGGAGGTTGAAGACTCTGAGTTTTGTCGCCACGTCTGCAAGGGTAGGCTACGGGCCTGACAGAGCTGAGAACATCCGGAGAACACATTTGCCAGACTCTTTCCAGAGAAGACTTCAGTTCAGGGATAGTTCTGCTTATGTTTTAGAGGAAGATTGGAAGTTTTTGGATGTGTGTTTTTGAGCTGGCGGTGGAGTGTGGACGGGGGGGGGGGGGGGGGGGGGGGGGGGGGGGGGGGGGGGGGGGGGGGGGGGGGGAGGGGGGGGGCGGGGGGGGGGGGGGGGTGGGGGTGGGGGGGGGGGGCTGTGGAATATTGTGGTATGGTTGTTTGTATGGACCTCCTAAGTTGTGTGGGTGTTTGTGAGGACACATTAGAATGGTGGAAATGTGGGACCGATATCACTTACACCTTGGCTTGGCAAACCAAGGAACCGTATGTGAGTTATCTGTGTGCTGTGTGTGTTGATGCCTGCACGACCTCCTTGTCCATAGTCTCAGCAAGACAAAAGTAGTGCCACAAATACTTCAAAAACTTAAGGTATTGATTGTGTGATTGTGGATATGAGATCAAACCAGCCTCAGTGTAAAAGAGTATTAGTGTTTTATGTGGTCTATGTAGCAGCGACTGCCACTCCTCCATTGAACAACAGCAGACACTGTTGCCAAAACTAGTGTTGCCAATACTAGTGTTGCCAATACTAGCCGCACAGTTTCATGGTCCCCAGGGACTGATGGTTGCTTACAATGGATTAGATATGCAAAAACATGCAATTTTTTTTTTTGCCTGACGTCCTTTTGATTAGTGAAAAAAGATGAATGCAGAAGGAAGAGTAAAGCGAAGAAGATGGAAATAAGTAGGTATGTACTTTGTATCCTCAAACAGCATTATAGCATCTTCATACTGTTATGTTTTTCTAGTGTCTGCATGAATACTGAATGTGGCAGGGCATAGATTTTGTGTGAAGCACCACTTAACTGTAGCGTCACTGACAACTGGATTTGAATATCTAGGTCTGTCCTTCTCTCTTTTTTTTTCTTTCTCTCCCGGTCTCCTTTTTTCTGTTCTCTTTTATTCCTCTCTTTTCTCTCTCTCTCTCCATGTCTCTTCCCTCTATTTTCCTCTTCCTTTCTCCTTAACTTTTCCATTCTCTATCTTTGTTTTTACCTCTTCCCATCTCTCCCCTCTCTCTTTCTCTCCTTCTGTCTGCTTCCTTCATCTCTCTCCCTGCTTCTTGTTGTTTCTCATTGTCTCTCTGCTTCTACTCTCCAACTTTCTCTCTGTCTTTCTGTATGTCATTTCTCTCCCTCCCTTTCCCCTCTCTCCCCCCTCTCTCTCCCTCTCTCTCTCTCTCTCTCTCTCTCTCTCTCTCTCTCTCTCTCTCTCTCTCTCTCTCTCTCTCTCTCTCTCTCTCTCTCTCTGTTGTGATATTCCAAAGCTGTAGATTGAATCTGAACTCATGTTCATGTTGCAAGGTGGTTGAGCTTTTAATGTGTCATCAAAATCCACCTCTTCACACTCCTTGCTAATGACAACATTTTTGGCAGTTGATAAATTTCGCAGTGCTAATGTCAGTTATGCAATTTTTGTTTCTGTATCATTATATACATGGTGAATAATTTATTGAGCCTGAATCATCTTTGGTCATTTTTTTTAAATGTTTGTCTGTTTTTCCTCTCTACCTGACGTTTTTTGACACTCTGGGCTGTCGCAAAATTTTTTTTTTTTAAAGGTACATGTGTATATAAATATAAGGAAAACTAAATAATAAAAATACAAATACAAAAGAAAATGAGGGGTTTTATAGTTCTATGAAATCTACGGAAGTAAAAGGAAATGAGGGGTTTTATAGTACTATGAAATCTACGGAAGTAAAAGGAAATGAGGGGTTTTATAGTTCTATGAAATCTACGGAAGTAAAAGGAAATGAGGGGTTTTATAGTACTATGAAATCTACGGAAGTAAAAGGAAATGAGGGGTTTTATAGTACTATGAAATCTACGGAAGTAAAAGGAAATGAGGGGTTTTATAGTTCTATGAAATCTACGGAAGTAAAAGGAAATGAGGGGTTTTATAGTACTTTGAAATCTACGGAAGTAAAAGGAAATGAGGGGTTTTATAGTACTATGAAATCTACGGAAGTAAAAGGAAATGAGGGGTTTTATAGTACTATGAAATCTACGGAAGTAAAAGGAAATGAGGGGTTTTATAGTTCTATGAAATCTACGGAAGTTAAAGGAAATGAGGGGTTTTATAGTACTATGAAATCTACGGAAGTAAAAGGAAATGAGGGGTTTTATAGTACTATGAAATCTACAGAAGTAAAAGGAAATAAATACTAGTGCCAGACCTGGAATATTTAACTGTGCACTGCTGTATGGCAAAGAATGATTAACGCCAACTCAACAGATCGTAACAAATTATAAACATTTATTATATGGTGCCTGGGTAGAATAGAGGGAAATAAATGCACCGACAGAATCACTTATGTCAAGTAACAACTGAAGGACCTTTTTTCAGGTATATTTGGCATATAGTGCTAGACCTTTACTTTGTGTGTGAGGTGGTCAACATCACGGCGACCGCTTTTACTTCCCAGGACTTTACTAAATTTAAGTCGACCTGGGAGCCAAGATATTTTTTTTTTAAAGTCCAGCTCTGTGTGGATTCGAACCCACAACATTTGGATTCACAGGTGTATCTGGTTGCTTCACCAGGATGGCTGCCAGTCACTTATGTGGAACACTGTCAGTCAATAATAAACACTCTTATGTCAGTGAGGACAAGACGCTAGTGCCTCAAGCACTGTCACAGAGAGAAGATGGTGGGTGGGGCCACGACACACTCAACCCTCTTGTTAATTGTGCAGTTGTTGGTGGGTAGGGCCACAACACACTCAGCCCTCTTGTTAATTGTGCAGTTGTTGGTGGGTAGGGCCACAACACACTCAGCCCTCTTGTTAATTGTGCAGTTGTTGGTGGGTGGGGCCACGACACACTCAGCCCTCTTGTTAATTGTGCACTTGTTGGTGGGTGGGGCAACAACACACTCAGCCCTCTTGTTAATTGTGCACTTGTTGGTGGGTGGGGCCACAACACACTCAGCCCTCTTGTTAATTGTGCACTTCTTCCTTCGAAGTCGGAGTACAGCTGCCCATGAGGCAGGGAAATGAAAAACGGTTGTACACGCAAAAATCAGGTCTAGGTGAAAGCCAAAAGTCCAAGCGGACGATTAACCGGGACCTTCCACTGGAATTCACAGCCGGTGATCGATTAAAAAAAAAAAATTTGTGCACTTGTTGGTGGATGGGGCCACAACATAAATTGTGTGCTGAGTGGCAAATACAAACAACAATATAGTTGAAATCTATAAACATATGTTTTTTTAAAAAAGGCTATACCTGAGGAAAAGAGGTTTTTTTTTTTGGGGGGGGGGGGGGGGTCCGGCTGAAGGTGTTCAAGACAAAGCACAGAATAAGACACACATTAAGCAAACTTGATTAACAGTGTAACTGAAATGTCACTGCATGAGGAGCCACAGAGGCAGTGAGGACCTTTTGTACTGCCTCTGTCAGCCCAGGATGCCTCCACCAGTGACCATCAGGACTACACCCAGCGCTATCATGGTGATCAGGAGAACTGAAATGCCAGCGGCCATCCGCAGAAACATGACCTTGTTTGCCTTGATCTTTGTCACCATCAGAGAGTAGCAGGGCTGCTCAATATAGCTGTTTTCAGCTGTGGGAGTTCTGCAACATTCAACCAATCGTGTGTCCAACATTCAACCAATCATGTGTCCAATATTCAACCAATCATGTGTCCAACATTCAACCAATCATGTGTCCAACATTCAACCAATCATATGTCAGAAATCTGTCAGCATTCGGCTCATCCATCGTTTCATTGACTCCCCTGGTCAAGGGCACAATTCTTCTTCTTCTTTTACCGCTGTGGGTGTCGAGGGAGATATAAGGTTCTGTTTCTAGCTCTTCTGGCTGCCTCGACCATAGGCACATCGTGCTGTTGTAGAGTTTCTCTGATGTTATCCTTCCATCTTGTTCTTGGCCTACCCCGTGCTCTACGTCCTTCTTCTCTTTCCATGTATGCTTTGTATGGTATGGTGTCACAAGGTATTCTATAGAAGTGGGCAAACCATTTCACTTGCTGTCTTTGTATGTAATCCAGAATTGGTTCTGTGCCGACTTTTTCTCTTATGATCTCATTCCTGATCTTATCTCTTTTGGTCACATCTCATTTCCGTGGTTACTAATTTTCTTGTATGGTTTGTTGTGAGTGACCATGTCTGGCACTGGTAGCACAGAGTTGGAATAAATATGCTTTGAATAAGATGTCTCTTTGTGCTGATTGGGATTGTCTTATGCTGTAAGAGGGGAGCTAGCTGTCCCAATACTTGGTTTGCTTTACTGCATCTAATGTCAATTTCTTTATCCAATTTCCCATCTTCGGTAAATGTAGTTCCCAGATATTTAAACTCAGATGCCTGTTTTATGCCTTTGTATTCTATTGCTATGTTTAGATCTGTCTTCTTTTTTCCTATTGACATTACTTCTGTCTTTTCAGTGTTGATTCAAAGACACAATTGACACACACAAAAGCACCAATCATTACAGAAAGTTTACCAGTATTTTGTTATCAGTACCAAATTTGACATTGTTAACAACAACAACAACAACAACAAGAAAAACATTGAAACATCAGAAATGAAATGTCCATAGTGGATCCTAAATGTAACTAGAACAGTATCAGAAATGATATTGGGGCAGAACCAGTACTAAACGACATCAAGAGACAAGAGATCAAATGGTTTGGACATGTGTCAAGATTACCACCAGACAGCGCACCTTATCTGTCACTTAGACATAATGGAAGCAGCTAGAGGTTGGCTACACAAGCGCTGGATAGATAGAATATTCCAGGCCGTAAATAGCAGCCTTGACTTAACGCACCAAGGCTCACACCCAATGCCTCTTCAAAAGGTAGAACAGGACTGACAAGAAAGAAGAAGAAAAGAATCAAGAGCACTGGGAGGTTAGACTCTTAGACCCCCCCACTTCCCACTAAACAAAAAATGTGAAGCGAAGCAGCCCCCTAACCTTTCTAGACTGGCAGTCTATCAGTCAGGGCTCCAAATTAATCACAGGATCACGGGTCACCCCATAATTGTCCTGTTTCTGTGCTAGTTAAAACCATAAAAAATGTCTATCACTTCCCCATATAAAAAAATCAATCAGACAACAGCTTGCAGATGCATCACATGTATAAGGCAGCTGTCAGAGGTGCCACTACCTACAGTATGCTACTAGAATCGCCATAAATAGTTGCTATAAACAGCAAACCAGCATTACTGCTTAATTAAGAGACACCACCAAACCTGTTACAACCATCTTGTCGCCATTTTTTTTAAAATTATGCCCTTTAAACTGCCCGACTGGCCACATGACCCATCAAGGGCCGTTAGGTCTTTACAAACATGAGTCTGGCCTCAGACCCAAGAGAGAACAGAGAGTAAGCAGCTCTGTGTCACATGATATACACTCAGTTCAGTAGCTGGCTGGGGAACCGAATGTTGCCTGGGCAAATGTTGTTGTCACAGCCATGGTTCCCCCAGGGGTGTCACAACCATGGCTCCTCAAGGGGTGTTACAGCCATGGTTCCTCCAGGGGTGTCACAGCCATGGTTCCCCCAGGGGTGTCACAGCCATGGTTCCCCCAGGGGTGTCACAGCCATGGTTCCCCCAGGGGTGTCACAGCCATGGTTCCCCCAGGGGTGTCACAGCCATGGTTCCCCCAGGGGTGTCACAGCCAGTGTTCCGCCAGGAGTGTCACGGCCAGTGTTCCGTCAGGGGTGTCACAGCCAGTGTTCCGTCAGGGGTGTCACAGCCAGTGTTCCGTCAGGGGTGTCACAGCCAGTGTTCCGTTAGTGGTGTCACAGCCAGTGTTCCGTCAGGGGTGTCACAGCCAGTGTTCCGTCAGGGGTGTCACAGCCAGTGTTCCGTTAGGGGTGTCACAGCCAGTGTTCCGTCAGGGGTGTCAAAGCCAGTGTTCCGTCAGGGGTGTCACAGCCAGTGTTCCGTCAGGGGTGTCACAGCCAGTGTTCCGTCAGGGGTGTCACAGTCAGTGTTCCGTTATGGATGTCACAGCCAGTGTTCCGTTATGGATGTCACGGCCAGTGTTCCGTTAGGGGTGTCACAGCCAGTGTTCCGCCAGGGGTGTCACAGCCAGTGTTCCGTTATGGATGTCACAGCCAGTGTTCCGTTAGGGGTGTCACAGCCAGTGTTCCGTTATGGATGTCACAGCCAGTGTTCCGTCAGGGGTGTCACAGCCAGTGTTCCGTTAAGGATTTCACAGCCAGTGTTCCGTTATGGATGTCGCAGCCAGTGTTCCGTCAGAGGTGTCACAGCCAGTGTTCCGTTAGGGGTGTCACAGCCAGTGTTCCGTCAGGGGTGTCACAGCCAGTGTTCCGTCAGGGGTGTCACAGCCAGTGTTCCGTTAGGGGTGTCACAGCCAGTGTCCCGTTAGGGGAGTCACAGCCAGTGTTCCGTCAGGGGTGTCACAGCCAGTGTTCCGTTAGGGGTGTCACAGCCAGTGTTCCGTCAGGGGTGTCACAGCCAGTGTTCCGTTATGGATGTCGCAGCCAGTGTTCCGTTAGGGGTGTCACAGCCAGTGTTCCGTCAGGGGTGTCACAGCCAGTGTTCCGTCAGGGGTGTCACAGCCAGTGTTCCGTCAGGGGTGTCACAGCCAGTGTTCCGCCAGGGGTTAAAACCCTGACATTATACTAGATTACCTGGGAGAACAGTGTCGACCAAAAGAAGAAGAGTTTGATGGGAGCAGCAGCAGTTATGAGATATTAATTAAGAGTCTTGCATTGCCCATCATTACTGCACTAGAAAACCATTTTAGTCCTAGCTTCAACTGTTTGTTCATATTAATCGTTGCAAATATATTTGTATGTTTATTTGCTCTCAGACTATGATTATTATTATGAAACAAGCTTAGGCCCCGCCCTTGCCTCCGCCCCAACCCAGTATTTAAGGGGGCTTTCTTGCCAAACAGCTGCAACGTTTTCTTTGTATTGACACCCCTGCCTTCAGTCCAACGTTGATCATATGTTCAGACAACTGTCCCGACACCAAGTATGTCACCATCATCTTCATCTTATTTTGTTCCATGTAGATTACGAGGCCCCATTTGTGTGGGGGGGGGGGTGAATAGACTTCCTGCCCTTTAACCAGCGTGTCGTAAAAAGCACATAATTTAGTGTTTGCTGAACTCTGATGTATTACACCAACAAGTGCAGCTATCACAGCCTAGCTGTATACCACAACACAACATTTCAGTCACCTTTTAAATTCACCAAGGAAGCTAAAAGAGCCTAAGCTTTCTTTAGGTGTTCATAATAATGATGTTTTGAATTGCAAATAAATATACAAGTTTATTTGATGTATGATGTATAAACAAAAACGCAAATAAGAAAAAGAGAAGACAGTTAGTAACCTTGGACATCTGGTGTCTGACAAGAGCTGCAGGAGGGACCAACAGAGATAACATCAGGAATGAGGTCATCAGATGGAGTCTTAAATTCTACATTACATAGAATGATCAAATCAAAGGTTTATCCTCTTAGAATGCCTTGTGCCGCCATACCATACAAAGCATACGAGAAAAAAAAAAGGGGGGGGGGGAGAAGCAGAATAATACAGAAATAAAACATCAGAGAAACTCTACAACAGCAAGCACGATGTGTGCATCATCGGGGCAGCCAGAATAACAAGAAGTAGAACCTTCTACCTCCATCGACACCCGGAGCGGTAAAACAGGAAATGAAGAAAAGAAGAAAAAGATAATTTCTTTACACGGTCAAGGGAAGGCAGTTTGGTGCCCCTATTCCAACCACACCTAAAATTTTCTTTCACTGGAGGGAGGTGATGGGCGAACTCCCTAGGTTGTAGGATCCCCCTAATAGAGGACATAAAAGACTAAACTCAGTCCTGCCTCACCTGGTACAGTTGTCATCCGTGAGAAGAAAAGTGCTGTTCTGCAAGTAGACGTTCGTGAATAACTTACAACATGAAGGAGGGACCACTTGCTCCTGGTCAGTGTTGTTGAGCCAGATGAGAGCAAATTGTCTGTATTCTGTGTAGTTGTCCAGCCCACAGCAACCCAGCTCTGCCTGGCAACAAATAGCCACATCCATGTTATGTGGACCTCCAGCTAATCATCATCATCATCAAGTGTCTGGCATAGTGTGTGATCTTGCTACTCCACATTCGTCTGTCCCTTCCCGGCTGCTACCTACAGGTTTAACCATCATTTCTTGTCCACTTTTCGTCTGTCCAGACAGTAGCTGGCTGGCTTTCTACCCGACCAGGACATCACACAAGCGACAAACACCCGATGACACAATGTGCCACCATGTGGATGAGGATCGCCGTGGAGAGGTCACAGAAACCACGTTCAGACATTTGGCCATATTTATGGCCTGCCTATATTGCGGCCCCTGGCAAAAGCCAGAGTGGGGCTTCAAATAACAAAAAATTTCGTCCTAAGAAGGACGAAACACCTATTGCTAAGTGGTCGTATGATATAACCAGCAGACAGTAGCGTCATACTGTGCTATATATAGGCATGTGAACCCCAACCCTTGGCGATAGCATGCAAGTGTTGAAGCTTCACCTGTCTATAGCACAAAGCGTGGGCAGTATTGTAGAGACCATCTGTTGCCCAAACATTATCATCCCTTGCTAGTTGTGCGTTGTTTACTCCAACAGAAAGAGAACACAAATATGTTTGGGACAAAGCCTGCAGCAGAAACTGCCCGATGAGAAGAGCAGTGCTTTCTGTCTGCTTGCCTGAACTCCCCTTCAAAACAAACTGTCAGCCAAAGCTGTCCTGACAGAACACTCACGTTTTCAGCTTCCAGATCCTCTTCCTAGGATAAACCTACTATCCTTCCCAAATGCGCTTTTCTGTAACAATCCAGACAATGAAAAAGAGATCCACCAATTTCAACGAATCAACAATTCGTGCTACTAACTTTTGGTGGCATGATATACTTGCATCACAAATACTTACACATGGCAACATATGTATAGAACACTGAACAAAATACGCACAAAATGCGCTTTTCTGCCCAGAGCTGTTGGCACAATTTGGGATGTCGTGTTGTAACGCCGCCCAGTATTTCGCTTTAACAGAGAACAGGTAGTGTCCCTTCATTGGCAAAAGTCGCATCTTAGATGGCAAACCAAAAGTGTAAATCCCAATCCGGCAACACTAAAAGACTAAGTAATACAAGAGACGCACAGGACGGCACTCTAAGTACTACCGTTGTATGCAATACTGTGCCAGTAAGAGCTTAAAACTATTTGTTATATTAGTGGTATGTCTTCTAACAAGGGTCACTGGAGCCAAGTGGTCAGTCCGATTGCCTATCGCTCTAGAGTCGTGGGTTCGCTTCACGGACGCATCGCTCAGTTTACAAGTGCTGTTGTTACGGAGATCCTTGATAATCGTCACTGAAGCTATAGATAACAGTTCGTGCTTTGTGCAACGTTCTCAGCAGGCGGAAAGCCGTTCTGTGGAGAGCCACAGAGCCAGTACGGAATAACATGCTGCAATGAACTCGATCGAATCAAATTTATCTTTATATTTTTCTTCTGATGTGATCGAATTATTCCATTCGTCGTTTTTGCATTTCTTCCCTAAAGATTTAACTCGCCTCTTAATTTTTTTTAACAACTCCTCTCTGTGAAGTCTCTCTAGGACCACGGAGATTGCGCAAAATAAAAGGCAGACAATACTCATATCTCGGGAGACGGATTAAACAGGGAGTAAGCAAAGGGTAGTGGCGGTTTTCAAGGGAAAGAGACAGTCGGACTATTAATCAGTTTACATCTGCAACATCAATATGGAAACTCTTCGTGGGCAACTGGGGTGGAGCATGTGTCGGAATGCAGCAACTCTATGGGAACTCTTCGTGGGGAACTGGGGTGGAGCATGTGTCGGAATGCAGCACCTCTATGGGAACTCTTCGTGGGGAACTGGGGTGGAGCATGTGTAGGAATGCAGCACCTCTATGGGAACTCTTCGTGGGGAACTGGAGTGAAGCATGTGTCGGAATGCAGCACCTCTATGGGAACTCTTCGTGGGGAACTGGGGTGGAGCATGTGTAGGAATGCAGCACCTCTATGGGAACTCTTCGTGGGGAACTGGGGTGGAGCATGTGTCAGAATGCAGCACCTCTATGGGAACTCTTCGTGGGGAACTGGGGTGGAGCATGTGTAGGAATGCAGCACCTCTATGGGAACTCTTCGTGGGGAACTGGAGTGAAGCATGTGTCGGAATGCAGCACCTCTATGGGAACTCTTCGTGGGGAACTGGGGTGGAGCATGTGTAGGAATGCAGCACCTCTATGGGAACTCTTCGTGGGGAACTGGGGTGGAGCATGTGTCGGAATGCAGCACCTCTATGGGAACTCTTCGTGGGGAACTGGGGTGGAGCATGTGTAGGAATGCAGCACCTCTATGGGAACTCTTCGTGGGGAACTGGAGTGAAGCATGTGTCGGAATGCAGCACCTCTATGGGAACTCTTCGTGGGGAACTGGGGTGGAGCACGTGTGGGAATGCAGCACCTCTATGGGAACTCTTCGTGGGGAACTAGGGAAAGGAGTAGAGCACGTGTGGGAATGCGCCGAGTGCAGTGATGTAAATTCTTCGTTAATTAGTTCCTGACGAATATCTGAAACTAATACGATTACATGACATGGGAGTAAAGTATCGCGCAGAACCCGCTGCAGTAACATGGTACAATAAAATAGTGACTTAACCCACCAAGAGACGAAGACATTAATAAAATCTAGTATCCAAGGAAGGTGGCTGGATACACACACCAAATTCTCTCCTCAAGACTCACTTCATCGCCTCTCTAGAGAGGGATAATGTATTATATTTAGACTAAGGACAGGGCACAACAGACTTCGTTAATGAATGTTCAAACTTTTCGATGTAGGAAACATGGAGACGTGTCCGTGTATCACGGCACCAGAAAATGTTGAGCAAGTGCTCCAACACTGTCAACTGTATGCTGACAACAGAGACGCAATCTGGCCTGTTCTAACCACATTGAAGACAAAACTGCATGGTACACGAGGAGATTTTGACTGCACGATAGCTTTCATAAAGGCTACCGGCCTCCTGATATAAGTTTTCCGACAGAAGGATCGAAGAAGAAGACGAAGCATCCCTACGCCGCTTTCAAAGCCAAGGTAGAAGTTATTATAACCAGCTCCTCTTGGGAACAATCAGCAGAGGTTCCTTAAAGTGGCTGGACACGCATGGGAATGCGCAATGTACAGTGACGTCAATTTGATAATATAACATTCATTCTTCCATTTGCAGATGTTGCTGTCACACACATTAACGGCAGTCACAAAAGAAAATATGAAGCACGTGGAAAACAAAGACATCATCTCACCTGCACTGCGTCGACCATTTTCTCGAAATCAGTGGTGATGTTTGGACTTCCCCAATAGTTGAATCTCAACCCAAACTCGAACGTAAACTGGGCTACCTGATGAATTTCTTCCGCATGGTACTGCAGAGGAGAAAAGTTGAGTGTTGACATCACAGAAAACAGTAAAGGAAGGAGTGGGACCCTTATATATTGCCTAGGGGAAGTGGGCTCAAGGGGTCAGATGCTTATTCTAGTTCTTAAAAAAAATAGATTGACTTTAGGCCCGATATGTTGGATAGGCTGACTGGTGCTTTGGAAAGTTATTTTTTCATAACCGCGATATACTAGTGCAATTTCTCCATTTCTGGATTCTTCTCCTCCGGCGTTCTTATCCCTTGAGGTTCATTGCTGCAGATATCCCCCACATCCACTCGTCTCTCTGGTTGGCCTTATCTTTCAAGTTGGTAACACCAAGTGTTTGCAGGTCTTTCTGGACAATCTCTCCATCGTCTTCCTGGTCTGCCTTGTGGCCTACGACCATTCATTTCCCCTGTGTATACAGCTTTTACCTCTCTAGATTATCATTTCTGGATTAAGAGACGAAATTTTATATCGTCAGTCTAATAAGTCAAGTGCTTGAAGCAACACTGTGAGCTGTGAATTTCACGTGAAATGTGTGTTTTCTTTTCTGTTATGCCAATGGCAGTTTTGTATTGTGAAGTTAAGTTATTGCGAGGTGAGGGGGGGGGGGGGGGGGGGGGCTATGATATGATGGGGCTGTCAGGGCAGGAATAAGGCAGCTCTAGACTTCTCTGTACGCCGCTAATTGACCGTCTTCCTCAACCTATGGCCGGTGGCTTATTGTTTTTCTTTCGTTTGAGGTATCTGAGCTCCCCCTAGCGGGCTAAACCACGAGCTATCTACAAGACGGTGATCTCCCCTGACTGGTCAGACGACACTTGATCTTCAGGAGAGACAAGGACAATCTCATCACGTGACAGCCGGGTACGTCGAAAAGTGTGAAATGGGCTCATTAACATCTAGACCCCTTTTTCGTGAGTTACTTAAGCAACACAACAGGGAACTACGCTGAAAAAAAAAAATACAACAAACACAGTTCAAGGGAAAGACCGCCCCCCCCCCCCCCCCCCCCCCCCCAAAAAAAAATCATCAACGTGTGCAGCTCGTTACAAAGATCACACTGGTCCTCCCCCCCCTTCCCTCATCCCTACACACACACACAAATCGATGAGGTATATGGGAAAAGAAAGCACGATAGAACGGTCAAATAAACTGTTAGCGGATCACAAGTTGGGCACCTAGGCCTGTATTATGTTCGGCTAGTGCAAACAATCATTTTTAGACAGCAACTGTCTTTTAGTACCTAGTAAAATATTTATTACGAACAGAAAATACCCTAGTACCCCATACTATGTGTATCACAAACATAACATACCTTGGTATACAGTGTCATGTTTATCATACATAAAATATACACTGACACATGGTATAATGTTTATCACGAACAGAACATACCGTAATACCCGGTATCATGTTTATCACGAATAGAACATACCGTGGTACCAGGTCATGTTTATCATGAAAATAACCACACTTGGGTATCATATTTTTCACGGCAATTGCTGTGTATGTTAAGTTAATAAAGAAGAAGAAGAAGAAAAAGGAGAATAAGAAGAAGAAAAAGCAACAGAAGAAGAAGAAAAAGAAAAAACAACAGAAGAAGAAGAAGAAGAAGAAGAAGAAGAAGAAGAAGAAGAAGAAGAAGAAGAAGAAGAAGAAGAAGAAGAAGAAGAAGAAGAAGAAGAAAGAAGAAGAAGAAGAAGAAGAAAGAAGAAGAAGAAGAAGAAGAAGAAGAAGAAGAAGAAGAAGAAGAAGAAGAAGAAGAAGAAGAAGAAGAAGAAGAAGAAGAAGAAGAAGAAGAAGAAGAAGAAGCAGAAGAAGAAGAAGAAGAAGAAGAAGAAGAAAGAAGAAGAAGAAGAAGAAGAAGAAGAAGAAGAAGAAGAAGAAGAAGAAGAAGAAGAAGAAGAGAAGAAGAAGAGAAGAAGAAGAAGAAGAAGAAGAAGAAGAAGAAGAAGAAGAAGAAGAAGAAGAAGAAGAAGTAGAAGAAGAAGGAGAAGAAGAAGAAGAAGAAGAAGAAGAAGAAGAAGAAGCAGTAACAAAAAGAGAAGGTGGAGTAGAAGGAGGTAGAAGAAAAGAAACAACCACGTGATACGTGTGAGATACCTACTGTGAGATATTTGATTGCGAACACATAGCACAGCCACAGGAGAAGCGACAGCACCAACAGGTTAATGAAAGCCATGTAGAGAAGCTTCAGGCCCACCATCGAGGCAGCCATTCCAAGGAAGCCGGTCGACATCAACCAGCCGCCCAGAAACACCCCGACACCCGCCAAAATCTACAACAGCAGCACAGTCTCATTAGGCATAGGACGGGAGGGAGGCGGGAGGTTGTTAAGATTAAAGTGACGAAGTGGTGATGTGACAGGTGATTGTGTGACAAAGCTGTGACAGGTGATTGTGTGACAAAGTTGTAGTATGCAAGGAAGCGGTGATTAGATGATGCGATAAAGTGACGAGGCGGTAATTCGACTATGTAATGATATGACATGGTAGTGATGTGACAAAGCGGTGATTCGAAGAAGCGGTGATGTTACGATGTGGTGGTGTAACGAGGCGGTGATGTTACGATGTAGTGGTGTAACGAGGCGGTGATGTTACGATGTGGTGGTTCAGGTGTCACTTTCAAATTTCGTTGCCATATCTTTATTAGTGTCCGGTTTATGAAGGAAAAACTTGGTTACGTCACAAGTGAAACGCCCGATATAAGAATGTTTTACCATACTCAGAAAAATGGTATGTGTATGGTTAAACCAAACTCTCACATACAAGAGTTCTTTGCCGCCTTGTCACATTACCACCGTATAAATTCATCGCCTTTCACAGTCCAAAACTTTATTTTATGTTATCGAGTTTCGTCCATTTTGGAATGAATTTTTTTTTGTCATTTGAAGCCTCGTCCTGGCTTTTGCCAGGGGCCGCAATATATACAGGCCTTAAAATGGCCAATTGTCTGAACGCGGTTTCTGGGACCTCTCCACGGCGATCCTCACCCACATGGTGGCACTTTGTGTCATCAAATGTTTGTCGCTTGTGTGATGTCCTGGTGGGGTAGAAAGTCAGTCAGTCAGTCCAAACCTTTGCCTTTATCACGAAGAGAACATACACTAGTATCATGTTTATCGCGAATAGAACATACCCTAGTATCATATTCATCGCGAATAGAACATACCCTAGTATCATATTCATCGCGAATAAAACATACCCTAGTATCATATTCATCGCGAATAAAACATACCCTAGTATCATATTCATCACGAATAGAACATACCCTAGTATCATATTCATCACGAATAGAACATACCCTAGTATTATGTTCATCACGAATAGAACATTCCCTAGTATCATATTCATCACGAATAGAACATACCCTAGTATTATGTTCATCACGAATAGAACATACCCTAGTATTATGTTCATCACGAATAGAACATACCCTAGTATTATGTTCATCACGAATAGAACATACCCTAGTATTTTGTTCATCACGAATAGAACATACCCTAGTATTATGTTCATCGCGAATAGAACATACCCTAGTATTATGTTCATCGCGAACAGAACATACCCTAGTATTATGTTCATCGCAAATAGAACATACCCTAGTATTATGTTCATCGTGAATAGAACATACCCTAGTATTATGTTCATCGCGAATAGAACATACCCTAGTACAACGTTCATCACGATGAGAACATACCTTGGATTCTACCTGGTATCATGTTTATCACAAATAGAACACACCTCGACACCCGATATCATGTTTTTAACAACTAGAACATATACTTACACCCGGTATCATGTTTACCATGAAAAGAACATAACCTGACACCTGGTATCATGTTTATCCCGAGTAGAACATATCTTGACACACGATATCATGTTTATTACGAAAAAAACATACATTGAGACCTAGTGTCATGTTTGTCACTAGTGGAACATATCTTGACACCTGGTATCATATTTATCACGAACAGAACATACCTTGGCACCTGGTATCATTTGTATCACGAATAGAACATACATGGACACGCGGTATCATGTTTATCACGAATTTCATTTGATTTGATTAAAGAACCGACATCATAAGGCTCGGGGCTTTCACATAAGCGCTCCATCTCCATCTTCAGCAGCCAGCGAAGAGTTCCGATACTAATGATGCCAGTAGCATTCTGATTAAACGTCCGTCTTGCTTTTCCTCTGAGCCTCGAGCATCTGCCAGAACCTCTCGTCACTCCACCCTGTATCAATCTCACCAGACGGTGGTGATCCGACTGCTCCTCCGAACTGTACATGCTCTCCCACAAGGCACTAACAACGTCTGCCTTATGCATCAGTATTCCACCAAGCTGTGCAGAGCCCGCCAGTCTGTCAGTCTGTTCATTACCCGACACACCGGCGTACCCTGGTGAAAAAAATCCAGACAATACTCCTCACTCGTGTCCTTCGCAGCGAAGCATGCCACTCTGCACGAAGCATACCTGTCCTGATCTTCCTCAGCATGCTTTCTGAGTCAGTTACAGTCACGATGTTTGTGTGTGTTGTGTTTTCTAGCCAGCGGAAAGCTGCAGTGACCGCCTCCACCTCCATTCTTAAGCTGGATGTTGTGGTATCATATGCTAGGCTCTCTTGCACCAAATGTCGACCAATAACTTTTGTTAAGAAACATTTAAGCACTTCTTTTGCCTCTTGACACTGAACCGTCTGTGTAAATGATCAAATCCTCTGAGCGAGCATTATCTTGAATTAATTGCTGAATTTCCACCTCTGTAGCACCTGCTAGCCAGTCTCTGCATTCCCGACTCAGTATAATTATGACCCTACACAAGTCTGACTGTTCAGGTGGCACTTTGACCCACTCCTCTCCTCGCCTAATGTTCTAAAGGATGCAAACCTGTCTGATTGTGTCTTCTGTCTGAGCCATCCCTGACTTCCCTCTTATCAGCCTCTGAACCTTGAGTGCACCCAGAGCTTCATGCAAAGGGTGGTCTGTATCTGCGGCTACCCTGAGATATGAGTTCGCCTGCAGCACCTTGTGCCTACCTGCAACCGTCGGCAAACCAAGGATGTATCGCATACACACCACTGGGGTGTCTCTGGTACAACCCAGAATGTCCCGCATAGCTGCGTTCTGTAAGCGCTCTAGTTTGTCCACCTGACTCTTTGAGACGGTAAGCAGTCCCAGGCCATAATCAACCACTGACAGGATCAGGTGCTGATATAGTGTGAAAAGCATTCTCTGCTCTATGTCACTTGCAGCGATAGTCTTAAGTGAACTAAGTCTTTTTTGTGTGTTGACATCTTGTCACAACACTATCCACGTGGTCCTTAAATGACAGGCTCCTGTCATATAAAATTCCCAGATATTTTAGTTTGCTCTCTCTCTCTCTCTCTCTCTCTCTCTCTCTCTCTCTCTCTCTCTCTTTCTCTCTCTCTCTCTCTCTCTCTCTCTCTCTCTCTCTCTCTCTCTCTCTCTCTCTCTCTCTCTCTTTTGACGTTTCTGCCATCTATCGTGAGACTTGGGACAGTAACTTTAAGGATTCTGTTGTCTAGAGAACATCACAAAACAAGCGCCTTTTCTGGGTGGACAACAGCCCTCATCACTTTGCCCACTGTCGCTTGTAGCTCCCGAGCTGTTTGTTAACTCTCTTCCCTTGCCATATATGCAAGTATATCCTCCGCAAAAATCAGTACCCTTCCAACTCCTGGTGCTTCTAGGCTTGCAATCTTGCTCGTATACACGTTAAAGGGCACGGGCGAGATGGCGGATCCCTGTGGCAGTCCTGTGGTCAAAATGCATGGTTCTGAGATCCATGAGCCCAGTCGGAGAGCAACCCGACGTGAATACAGGACAGCTGCAATCCATTTAACCATCCATGGACTGACCTCCTTGTCCGTCAGTGCATACATCAAGATGTCGTATTTCACTCTGTTATAGGCATCCTCGAGATCCAGTCCTACCGCCATAGTTTCCTGTCTGTTCTGGAACCCTTCATAGACGTCAAAAGCAAAAGTGACCGCATTTGCCCATGTGTCCTTTCCTGTCCTGTAGCTTCTTAGACCTCTTTGGAAAAGCTTGGGAAAAGAATAGAAGATATATTGACACTGGACACGTTTATCCCAAGTAGAACATACCTTAATACCAGGTGTCATTTTTATCACCCATAGAACATACACTGACAAATGGTATCATTTTTATCACGAATAGAACATACCTTAACACCTGGTGTCATGTTTATCACCCATAGAACATATACTGACATATGGTATCATTTTTATCACGAATAGAACATACCTTAACACCCGGTGTCATGTTTATCACCCATAGAACATACATTGACACATGGTATCATTTTTATCACGAATAGAACATACCTTAACACCCGGTGTCATGTTTATCACCCATAGAACATACATTGACACATGGTATCATTTTTATCACGAATAGAACATACCTTAACACCCGGTGTCATTTTTATCATCCATAGAACATACATTGACACATGGTATCATTTTTATCACGAATAGAACATACCTTAACACCCGGTGTCATGTTTATCACCCATAGAACATACATTGACACATGGTATCATTTTTATCACGAATAGAACATACCTTAACACCCGGTGTCATGTTTATCACCCATAGAACATACATTGACACATGGTATCATTTTTATCACGAACTAAAAACATACCTTGACCCCCGGTATCATGTCCAGCTTTAGCTGTTTTGTGAACTTCTCCCCCGGGAGACGAAAAGAGGTGAACCTCTGGATGTCTTTCAGTTGTAGGATATTCGCACCAGTTGTGAGCAGGTAGAGCCCCAGGCAGAACATAACCAAGTTCAAGGTAAAAAAGACCCCCGGTCCAAGACAGGATGAAATGCATGACATCTTTCAGCCTGTGGGTCGCATTAGAACAATCATGAACGCACAAAAGAGTGTACTCATCTCACACCGACGTGAATCATAAATGCTTGTATCGTCGCCATCCAGGGCCGTCTTAACGCATGGGCCTGCTGTGCTCTTGCCCGGGGCCCCGCGAGCTTAGGGGAACCAGATGACCTGTGAATGTTAAGTGGCTTGTCATATTATAAGTTCGTTGTCATTTCAGACTGTGCTATCTAATCTGTGTTTGTGATCTCACACCCGTTTTGTTAAAGTGCAAAATAAAATACATATATGTTTAGTATTATCGACATTTACATCTCATTGCTGTGAGTGGTTTGTCGTAGGTGCCCCAACATATTGGTTTGCCCAGGGCGCCAACGCATTGGTTTGCCTGGATATTGTTAAGACGGCCCTGTCATCATCAGAATATTTTTATCGTCGTCGTCATTGTAGTCGTGGTTATCACCATCATCCTCATCACTTTCATCCTTATATTCGTCATTAACTAACATATTTTGTTTATCATCACCACCTAAAATGGTTTAACATATCTCAGCAAGGTGAGACATACAGAATAAAAACATACATAACGCATATAGAATGAAGCCATGCGGGTAATTCTGGGATGTACAAGCGATACCCGGGTAGTATGTATGCGATATATACTTGCACTGCCTACTATTGCAGATAGGCTCAAAGTTTTACAAGCAAATATATTTTTAAGAGTAGCTGCAGACAAGCTGCACCTCCTGCATGAAGCCAATGTTTTGGTTGCACCGCGTCTGCCAGAACGCCCGCCTCCAGAATGAGCTTCTCTAAACTTTCATGTCCTCTTTAATGTGTGTTCAAAATACTTAATTCCCCCCAACTGTATTTGTGTTGATAACATACATGCTTGAATAATAAACTCGAATTGTTATCTATATAAATACTAATGTAAAATCTCCGTTTGTGACCAGTAGTTAATATCTGAAAGTTCTTCACCGATTGCTTTAAAATTTTCGCACAACGTTGCATTAGAAATACGCGCGTGGTTTTTCTTTTAAATAGTGTAGCACAAAGCACGAATTAAATAGTTCCAGTGACGATCACATCGGCATCTTGGGTTTGGTTTCCGACGATCCGATTTCTTGTTCGTTGCCGCGTTCCCAAACTTTGACTGTTGACCTCACAAATCTGCATAAAGCTGTATGAGATAATCAAATTATTTCGTTCAGGGGACGAAGAGTTTTTAAAAGAATATTTGGAAGTGAAAAGATGTGGGAATAAAAACAAGTTGGAAAAGTTTTAGGAATAAAAAGATAGTTGTTGAAAGACTCATTTAAATGAAAGAATACTGATTGGTGAGAACAATCATCACAGTATTCCGGACAGATCCATAGGTTCTCAGATATTTTCCTTGATAGCTCCACAAGCGCAGAAACCACTTATGACGCCCATTCTGTAGTGATTAATCTAACGACTTGCCCTTGGTGCTGCAGGCTGCACTCCCATATCCACCACCCTCGACACGATCTTCTTGGCGATATGCATGTCACTGGACATAAGTGACATCACTACTGCCCATGTCAGGGAAGTCACAGTAACTTCCTTGCCCACAAGATTAATCTTCACAGCAATTGTGATAATAACAGAATAGTAGTAGTAGTTACTGTTGTGGCTGGCCAGGTGGCTACAGCGTCAGCCTGTCATGCGTGACAGCCGGGTTCGACCCCCATTAAGTTGATGGCTTTTTTCAGGAGCACAATAAAACATCCTAACCTGAACAGTCCGTGGCGATAGCACTAGCCATGCGGCTTCTCTGGCTCACGATCCCAGGTCTACACCCGACCTAGACAGGTGGTAAAACAGGCAAGAGTGACAGTTTTTTGTAGTTGTTGTGGTGCTGGTGGTGATGGTAGTATTAGTACTGGTAAACGATGGGTGATATGTAATGAATTTTAAATCCTTCGGAGAGGGAGAGAGGAGTAGTCAGTGGATTGGGAGGGGGCTGAGGGAAGGGCAGATGGCAGAAACTTTTAACTGAGAGAGCTTAAAACAGGATTTTACAGTTCTCATTTTTTAAATTATTTATATTTTAACAAAGCTATCTCAGCTATTCTTATTGTGTGTATGTGTGTGTATTTGTGTGTGTTTGTTTTCGGCGAATTAGTTAGTTCTTAAGACGTGCAGTAGTAAACTTTACTTTGAGCCCTTCAAAACATATTAAAAAAAAGTTAGCATGAGACAAACACATACACATTGTTTAGTCCTAATAATACACTTTACACGACCACTAATATAAGGACACAATTATATGTTGTGTGTTCTAGAGACGACAAGCCAAACTATCTCTATATCTGCACAGACAATGATTGTGAACTTAACAATATTAGACACGTGCGCTTTCTATTTTCCTTCTATTCCATTTAGCCAGACTGTGCCGCAGCAACGCGTGGTCGGGTGCAGCTAGTTACAAACTGAAATGATTTTTAAACTACCTGATTTTACTTTGAGCACATTTCCACTAAAAGATTCTTCTACTGCCTTGTGTCCTCCAATGGAACATAGGCCCTCAACCAACTCGTTCTATTCTTCGCTGTTGAATGCAGCTCTCCCCATGCCCTCTGCGTATTTTTACGTCACTTTATAGCTCTCTTTTTCCTTTTGGTTTGCCTTTATTTAGATGTCGCAGTGGGTTCCAATGCAAGGACATTGTCATGTTTTCTGACCGTGTGTCCTATCCAACGATAGAGCCTTTTCTTCACTTTTCGGTCCCCTGTAACTTGTTTAGTACTTTTCCAAAACACAACATAATTGACTGTATCATACCACTGAATTCCGAAATGTAAAACTTAACGCTGCTGAAGGAAGTTGCACAGAAAAACACAATTACCTAGCAACACTAAATTACATTATCATTTAATTTCAAAAAGTGGTGCCCATCCCTTGACCGTAGGCGCCCAGACGTGGGGCTTCAGGTCTATTGAGTCAACCCCCCCCCCCCACACACACACACACCCAAATTCATGGAGTCTATGTCCCTTATTTGTTTATATTGTTTGTTTGAAAATTTTTTTTAGTTATTTTTCATTCAATCATCGCGCCCAGAGGCACATAAGGCAGAGACAAACTGTCGTCACTAAGCTCAATCTTGAGCCATCCCTTCCCTCTCTCTCTCTCTCTCTCTCTCTCTCTCTCGCTCTCCAGTTTTGTCTTTGGCGTAGCCCCGAGTGCAGCCTCAAAGGTTCGCCTCCAAGTGCCTCTGGGTCTGCCTCTTCCCCGATGTAATTGTGGTTTCCATTGCATTGTTTGTCTCGACAGTCTCTTTTTCTTCATTCTAAGGATGTGTCCAGTCCACCTCCATCTTCGTTTTTTTAATTTTTTTTTTTAATTCTAAATGTATATCTTCTAAGTCTGTTATTTATTGTAATCTCAAAATCTATGAGCATGCTCTCTATCTTTCTGTTTGAGTTCCAAGTTTCAGCTTCAAAGAGGAGAACTGTCCTAGCGCATGTTTTTGTGTATCCTGAGTATAGTTTCAGTACTGTTTGATCTCCAGACATATTGAAGTCTGGCGTAAGCAGCATTTGCCTATGCAGTTCTCTGTTTGCTTTCAGCCACTACATTTTTCATCCGAGGAGATAATAGTTCTTTCACTTTTGGGGTTTAGTCCAGCAGTTTTGTTTTATTGACGTTGATTTTTAACCTTGTCTGTTTTGCTATTTCTTTTTTACTATTTTCCATTCAGCACATTATTATTTCTACACTATTTCTTCTTTTGTTCTTCTGCTTCTTCTTTTGTCGTCTCTCTTTCTTGGTCTTACCCTCGCCTTCCCCCCAGATGTTCTGCTTTAAAAAGGCTCATATGCAGTTTGGTCTGCTGCATTCTCACTAGATGGCCGAGTCATTTCATTTCTTTGTCTGTCAATATGACTCAGACACGGTGTTTTCCAACTGTATCTCTAAGAGCATGCATGGAACATATTTAAAGACAGAGAATGAAGTGGTTTGGTCATTTAGTAAGAATGCAACCGGATCAGATTGCCTATAAAAGGCCTTTTACAGTAGAACATCGGGAAGAAAGGCCAGAGGAAGACCCAGGAAAAAATGGATAGATGGAGTAGCTGGATACGGCCAGAAGATCCAGAAAACTGTCACTCAAATCACGCAAGAGGCACAAAACAAATGTTTTAAACCACGACACTGGGCTGCAACCCGGTAAAAGTGAAGAAGACAATAGATAGATAGATCTCTAATGCTGGTAGTTGTAACCCTGACCCTTCTTGTGTTATTAGTGACCTTGCTTAGACAGTGCATTTCACATGAAGTTATTTTATGTCCTAGTGCCATTTTCATTGTCCATGTTTGGCATTGATGGCATACAGTAACGATGAAAATGCTATTAATACTTTGCTGTTTTGCTGAAAGCGAGACTTGTGGGTGTCTAAGCGGTGGGGCTGTCTGATATTTGATAGCATTTGCCTTATGGAATTCTATCTATTCACCTGATATTATCTAGTGAAATCTAACGCTAGCAGTCCCGACATTTTCTTTCTGATAAAATCATTCCTGATCTTCCGGCTTCTCGGCAAGTCAGCCGCTCTTCTCGGGAATCTCATTTCACTTGTGATTGTCCAAGAATGGCATCACAAACCTTCCAAACAAATGCATTACAAGAACGTTTTAAATGTGGTCACCTAATTTAGCTGATGGCCTCAGAAATGTTGTCACAGTTATCCATTGTGTTGTGTGATCTGAGAACATTAGAGCGACGTCTCAGTTGTCATTCTGTTGTTGATTCCGGTGATTTGGTTCGATGTTTTGACTAGTCTCTGTGAACCTCACTACTGAACGTGGGAGTGATACCACACCAGCAGTGTTTTCGGGATTTCCCACAATTTCTTCTTCTCAAAGTCCATGCCGTGTGGCTCGCTAGCGCAGTTGGTTAAGTTGAGTTAAGAATTGACATCACAGCACTCGGGGCATTCCCAAGCATGCTCCGTCCTCATCTTCAGCAGCCA